TTAACATTTAACACCTAAATACTCAAATACTGAAACACTTAAAAAGTCGAAAATGGCTCGATCGATTTTGAAAAAAAGTTTTTTGTGCATTTGAGTCCCTAGATGATTTAAAACTTAATTGGACCCGGTACGTGGCGCTGTTAGGGAGATCCAGAAATCACCTGTGCAAAGCTGGGTGAATCGGTAGTATATAATACAAATACTCGTAATACAAAATACGTCAACAATCAAACGTAATGTCAATGCCATTTAAATGCAAATTATTAATGTTAAAACGATTTTCTAATTTAGATATAGTATTATTCACTTCGTAATATGTTAGTAATTGTCGTTTTAATTTGAAAATTAATAAACTAAAAAATCATCAGCATAATATAAAACTATATGATGGTTATCCCCTACTATGAAATAAATAAAAAAATTATATTTGTATTATCGACTCGGAAGAACTTATATCGTTAAAAACAACTTTTTGCGTACTGTTACTTAATGAAAATAATACATTTAATAGCATCGCTTCTTAAACGGAAAGACACAGAAAACAAAGACAATAGGCGTTTTATTAGAAGAAGTCTCTACTACGAATCAGTCGGGCTCATATTCTAGTTCTAATGAGGCTAGCAGAACAACCAAGTGTAGAAGTTGAGGATACACTAAGAAGTGAGGTTAGAATTCTATAATTCTACTCAACTCATTTATTCGTAAAAGTCTGTATTTCACTGTTAAACATGAAATGTTGGTCTGATATGTTGGAATGCGGTTTTTAAAGATGAGATAGTGAAACAATATCTTTTATTTCGTTAAACATTACAGCCTAATAAAATCTACTGTTGAACGTAGGCCTCTCCCATACCTCATCGAGTTGATTCTGCCATTGTTTTCAAGCTTGGCAGTTGGGTTGACAATAAGAATAGAAGATGAGTTACTTGAGCAAGTGGATGCGTTTGTGTGTTCGGGATGTGTTTTTAGCAAGGATGGTAGAAACGATAAGGATATAGAACGAGTGAACGCAGGTAATGTAGTGAATGGGGTTCTTCACTCTATTATGGGAAATCTGTGTGTCAAAAAATGCACGTGTGGCAATTCAAAATGCTGTTCGTTATTCCCTTCTTTAGCGTGTGTTAATGAAAGTTGAGTGTGGCAGAAGAAGCACGAGAGTAGAATTAATGCTGTAGAAATGCGGTCGTTAATGTTAGGGCTGAATCTGAATAACAGAGTGGGAAATTGTGTGATAAGAGAAAAGTGTGGTTTGCGAGATGATGTTGTGAGCAGGTTCAAGAAATAAAATGCTTCGGTGGTTTGGTCATGTAGAAAGAATGAACGAGGAAAGAGTGAAATATATGTTTCAAAAGTGAAACGAAGAGTAAAGGACGCCCTGGACAAAAGTTTATCAACTAAATTGGCGATATATTTAAGATAGGCCAGATTAGTAGTACCCTGAACCAACAAGCATGTATGCTTAGGTATATGAAGGAAAAAGAAGGCGAGAGAGGTGTTAAGATCGTGCCAAATGGAAGCCCGTAGTCTCTGCCTACCCCTCTGAGGGTAAGGAGTAAGTGTTTACGTCTTATGTCATTTAGTACACACGAAGAAGGTCATTTTTCGACTTTACTTGTCGTATTTGGTACCAACCCCTTGTTTATTCCTACAGTTATTTTGCGGTTTTATGGGTAGCAAAGCCAGCATAATATGCAAGTTGTGACAAACTTCATTCATGTGGTGGAGTCGTGGTAGCCCAGAGAAGGTGCTCATAAAGCATGGGAAAACGAGCAATAGACCTAGAAATTTTTTTTAATATTTATTCGTAACGTATGTTGTACCGTTCAAAAAAACATTTAAAACAACATGTGAGCGACCACCATATTCCAAGTAGTGATTTTCAATCATGTATTTTTAATAGTAAAATAATCCTGTGTCCGATGAAAGCCACGAACAACTACAATTTGATGCGAACTCAAAAATCTTCTGAAATGTCCTGTGAGAATTATTTCATAAATATTTATATCTACGCAAAATACTAATATATACATAAACATAAAGTTGAAGTTTTAATACTGCAGACAGATGTCCACCATATTCCAAGTAGTGATTTTCAATCATGTATTTTTAATAGTAAAATAATCCTGTGTCCGACGATAGCCACGAGCATCTACAATTTGATGCGAATCTAAAAATCTTCTGAAATGTCCTGTGAGAATTATTTCATAAATATTTATATCTACGCAAAATACTAATATATACATAAACATAAAGTTTAAGTTTTAATACTGCAGACAGATGTCTGCAGTATTAAAATAACTTACTTTTATTCCGCTGAGGTAATTATTTGCATGCCATTAACATATGAATTATTAAATGTCTGTCGATGTTAATGGTAATGAAACTTCACGAACAGATTCAGAACTTCACGAACAGAACTTCAGAAATAACTCCCGGCATTTCTCTTTATATTTTCTTTGACGATTATCATACAACAAACATAAACGCCATGTTAACATATCCTACCCATGCGAAGCCGGGGCTACTAGTTAGTTGCTAAATAAAATAATTTATGTTATTTCATCGCGTTTAATTTTCATATATATAATTCGACGTTTCAAGTTTTCGCCGCACCCACGTTCACAGCTGATCACACATTAGAAATGGGGGAATCAATTGTTTTAATTTAAATACATACTTTTAAATCCCACGAAAATAAATCCGCGTAAGAATATTCTCTACGCCATATTGTTCGGTCACAGTGTCGTAAGAGGCGACAGAGGAAAACAGGCCAGCAGATGAGTAGCAGCGTCCTTTTAACAAAATCTAAAAATTGCACGCCTCATGAGCGTTTCATTTAATTTTTTATGAAAAAAATAAATTGTGTTCCTGACTTTTAAAATATATTATTTACGTATTTGAATGTTTAACGCTTCACTATTTTAACAGATCCTTATAGGGAAAAATTAATAACGTTAACCAAAATAAATCGATAAGACAAAGTATAAAATCGATAAAGGCTGTATGGTACATTTGCCCTTTGTCTATCACGGGTTGAAATAAAAATAAAAGCGCCTTCAAATTTTTAATAGCAATAAACCTTATAAAACATGAAAATCATTTTATTACAAATCAATGCATTTTATTTACAAAAAACACGTACTAGACTATATGACATAGGGAACCATTTTATGTAATTCTGAAGCTAATAAAAAGACCCGGTATCCATACGTCAATTTTTTCTGGATATTTCGTGACCACATACAAAATCAACAGCTCTACGTCCACGAAAAAATTGTGAAACCGTTTTTTATCAAAGTAGCAATAGAAAATGATTTTTAGAAAATATAAGATGGATTAATTAGAGTATTTTCTTGATATACGGCTACTCATATTATCGTATAAGCTTATGATAGAGGCATTTTAAGAGAACAAAATTGCTTAACCTTAATTTGTCGAGAGCATTGATTTTTCGAGAGAAATGCACTATTTTAAACGTAAAACAAAAGTAAAATAATCTTTTTTTTTTTTTTTTTCGGTTGGTTTGTTCCCCGTGGGGGGGGACTGAAAGTAAAATATACTGCGGTTGCCAATCCGCCTCACTAGCATGGCAACTTTGGCAAATATTCCCCATATGATAAGCAATGGATTTAATATGCTGTAATGGTAACGGCAACGGAAAAAAGAGTTATCTTTTTCAAGAAGAAATATTTATACACACAACTAAAGTAGTAATCTACATAAGTAACCGGTACTAACTTATACTTGAGAGATTATAAAAGAATAAATGTTTCATTTTATTAAAATTTTATCTCGCACTCATAGCATTAATTTAACAATAACTGCCCAGATTTTTAGAATTTCACTACAGTAGTGCGATTGCGAAAAGGCCTATAATTTACCTACCGTCGTACGTTTCACAATTCTGTGTACGACTTATCAACGTTGACTAAAGGGAATCAGGATTACACACTTCAAATAAATAATATATTGGATGTAAAAATCTTAATTTATATTTTTATATATATATATATATATATATATATATATATATATATATCATCTTTTGGCATGTTACATTCTATATAGCCAGAGCGGGGAATAAAAATAACGTAAAATCTATTTTTACCTTAAATGTTTAACGATTACAAGACATTTTTAACTTTTTTTATCATCATCATTACAGCTTATAAACTCCTTTATGTTATTGTGTTACCTAGGCCTCCTCCAAGGAATGCCACACAAATTTGTTTTTTTTTGTACGTTGATAAATATGGTACCATTGAAATAAAAAAATATGACTTATTTATTCTCCTAAGAATTTCAAAGAGTATTTAAAGACGCAATATATCTGCAAATAACTAGCATGTCCCATAATTAAAAATATTATGATTATAAAATATTGTTAAACTTTTTTAACTTCTGTAATTCCTACACAAAAATGGTGTTTTACGATAATATAAATCAAAGCGAAAAAACACACTGACATAGTGACCATATCCTACCATGAATTTTAACAATGTTATAATGTAACAAATCGTGGTTGTTTACGTATTCATCACTTGGATATACATACTCCTAGGAAAAATGATAAAATTTTTGCTTAAACCAGTTCACAGGTTCGGTAGTAACGTGAAAATGCATTTAAACTGGTCATCATCGAATCACCTTGTAAGCCGGACAATCGCTTCGGCTAAACTATTTTTACGCTAATCTTGGAAGCATGCCATTACGTTTGCCCTCGTATAGTACATTCAATTTAACTTCAGCCGAGATTTGGATATTTTATCTCTAAATATCTTAACTAAACCATGAACAAAATGTTTGTTTTAATAAAATATCAATGAATTACAAATACTTCAATGATGTGTGTGTAGAGTGTGCGACAAAAATTAATTTTAGAGTGTGCGGCATAAGAACGTATTAGTCGTGTCTATGATGGCGCCGTGAGCGTCCCGCGTCGGCCATGGTGCGAATCAGATGGACGTTTCCTCTTATTATAATATCATTAACTCTCTTAGCCACAGTGATAACCGCGTTCCGTGTTCGTGACCTTCCAAAAACTTCTCATGAGGGTGTTTCAGAGTTCAGAAAAAAGCAAAAATGTGAAAATTGTGATGTGAATAAACTTGACACCAATCGAAATTCGCCCGTGCATAAAACCGAAAGTGATAACAAAGAAAATAAACAATATCTCGACGATAAGATCGAAAAAACAAAACGATTACGTGATGAAACCGATGATGATAGTGACGAAGATGATGATGAAGGCAATGAAAATTTAATTTATCTTAAGCAACTTGCATCAAAATGGCAAGATAAACAAAAAGCTTCCGGAATATTTGATGAAATAGAAACTAAACCGAGTACAAGTAAGAAAAAAGTCAATATTGCTAGTTCACCTAATATACAAACTAATGAAATTAGAAAGGATAATATAGATAGTAATGGTAATAGTGAAAATGATCGTGACCACGATAGACGCGATCAACAAAAGAAAGTAAGAGTAGTCAAGAAGACAAAAGAGATCTCGAAGGACATTCAGTTAAAAACATTAAAACGCTCAAAGGTGGATGACGAAGACAGTGATGATGAGGATGATGAAGATGATGAAAATGATAATAGGCTTAATCATAACAAAAGAAATGAAACAAATATAGAAAAACCTTTTTTTAATCCTGAAAAAATGAACATAAATTCAAAACCCTTAAAAATTGACAAAACAATTATAAAAGAAAAGATCTCTAAAATCAAAGAAATAGATGCTAAAGAAGTTATCAAACCTAATGAAAATGTAAAAATGCAGCAAACACCAATAAAAACTGCTCATAAGAATATCCTGAAAAAAGAAAATGAGCCTAAAGACAAAAACATCGAAAAAATACTAGATATACCTTCCGCAAACGTACAAGATGAAATTAAATTAGATAAGGTCCTAAGAAGTGACGTTAAGAAACCGAACGAAAAACTGCCAATTGAAATCATCGCCAAAGATAAACTCGAAATTAAAAAAGTCGATGAAGTATTAAAAATAACAACAATATCTAAAGGCGTCAAAGAGCAAAGGCAAGAAAGTAACTTTAATGGAAGTCGAGAAGAAAATCGTTTAAAGCAACTTACGAATGCTTTATTCAGACGAAACTTGCTAAAAAGTGAATTTGAGGATTTCTATGCGTTCTTTCCTACTTTTGCTCCGAACTTTACTCGCGTTCAGAATCCGGAATGCAGGCGTCACGGGCAAATACTTCTAAGACAACTACGTGGTTCAAAGTTATGGGCGTTAAACAGTAAGTAGTTTCTTGATTGTAATTTTAATAAACATGCATCATTGCTTTAAAACAGGCAAAAGAATTACATAAACAAGCAAAAGGAGAAACAATTTATTATTATTCCTTCTTTGCTATCTTAAATATTTTATTGGCAATGATTTGGAGCATTTGGCAACAGATGTAAGAATAAAAAAATATAAATGATTCCGTTTCAAATCCATTTCAGTCAGCAGAACTTTGTGTACATTGTGTACCTTTTTAATCAAAGGTCGCAAAATGGTTAAGTAAACGAAATTTTTATTCTTCCATTATTTCGCAATTCGTTCGCCTTTATTTTTACTGTAACTGACTTATTGTGTGAATGAATAAATAAATACAGCTAAAAATTAAAAGTCCTCTTACATGGGATAACATTAATAGTATGTAATATATAACGTGATGACGCATATTATGTAAGTCCTTAGGGGTGGCAATATATATTAATTTTGATTTGTAATAGAGGATAGGTGTAGGTTTTCGTGTGTCGCCGTATAGTGGTAGCGTGAAGGATTGTACTACTCCATATCATCCCGTGGATGGCGTAAGAGACGACAGAAGGAAAATAAATTAGGACTTTGGCAGCAGTATTTTTAATTTTTATAATAACAATTCAAAATTATAAAAATCTGCGGTGTGGCAACCCGCTTGCCAAGTGTGGGAACTGTGACTTACATAGTGAATATTGACTAACATGATACAATTTACGGGGGAGGTACGTTCAGCAATGGACTCACAAATTATCAATAGGTAGACTATTTGCTTGTTGATTGCCCTTACTTCTATAAAAAAAAGATTTTATTTACTTTTGATTCGATATCAGTTATGATAAAATCATTTCCAAGTATAGACCAAAGGACAAAAATAATCACACAACATAATTAAGGACAATAACATAAATAATTTCACTTCACTGGTAATAAAATATCGTCAACAAAGCAAAAGCTTACTGCCCGGTTTATGTCTGCAATAAATACTCCAAAAAACTATAGTCCTAAACCACCTGCATTTCTGTGGATGTTGGTAGCTCATTGCATATTCCATCGCGTCCCAGCTTACGCTGCTGGTACGAGCTTATCATTGCTTGTCAGTTTGAGGTATCTTGAATATTGATATATATCCAAGTATCTTCACTTAACATAACTGAAGTGTTAGTAACATTTCAGTTTCTTATAAAAATATTTTAATGCAGTATCTTTCGACTGCCGGTTGTGTGAAAGCGCAGGCCAGTCTCTCTAAAATAATGCTTGATTAGCAAATACTTAATAATATAATTTCGATACAAATCTTTTAAGCCTAATCTAAGTCCTCAGGAGCGGCAACGCATAAGTATATTCTTAATCGAGGAGATGTCTATGGCCCACAATATTCACTTACCATCGGAGGGACTGTGTGCTAGTATGTCACTCTTATTGTATTAAAATTAAATATATCAATTACATGAAAAATGAGTTACTATAAGTTTCTCTGTTAATATTATCAGCTACGAAAAATCTACTCCTGGATATAGGTTGTTTAAATAATACACTGGCTGAAGTGCTAACTTTGTGGATATGTGCACATTTATCATTCTGGGCAGGAAGGAATACAGAGCAAGACGAGGCGCGTCATAAATCAGCACTTAAAATCGTAACTAACTATTTATAATATTATTAGTACTACCGGGGATCGAATTTCGATCCCCGCCGGTACCAATGAAATTGTTAATTGCAATTTTAAGTGCTGATTTACTACGTGCTCGGCGGCGAAGGAAAACATCCTGAGGAAACCTGCATGTCTGAGGAATAAGAAAAAAATCACGCCATATATATTCGCCATCACTCTCAGAAATGAGGGGAGGTCTGTGCCCAGCATTTGGACGTATATAGGCTGTAACTTTACTTAACTTTACTACCGGGGATCAAACCCGGGCTGCCCACGTACTGTAAAATTCATGACGAGCACTTAAACAGACACAATAAAGTCATTCTCATTTTTTTATAGAATAAGGGTGATAAACGAGCACACAGTCCACCTGATGGTAAATGGAAGCTGTAGCCAATAAACATCTAGATTTATCCTCGGTTAGGAATCAAAACACAGATGCGTTGTCATCCCTGAGGACTAATATGGAATTCCTCGTTTCCAGTAAAAAGGGGCCTCCGGATCTCTACACTCATCATACGAAACACAGCAGTATTAAGCTGCTATGGTCGAGCCAACCCATTCGTGCTACAACTAAAATATAGCTGCAGCGTGTCTCTACCACGTATAAAAAGTTAATTAGGTTGTATGAAACGTCGTTGTTAACCAAGTTGAATAAAACATCGTTGTTATTCAACTAAGCATACTAAATTAATCTCAAAGGACATTTAGTCCCAAAATACATTATTAACATTTAGGGCTGTTTCAGTGCTCGACGCAACTGGCAAGGTTCCCTCGGGAATACTTCAAGGTAATGGTATCCAACTGGGTAACTTCGACCAGTGTTTAGGAAGTCGAGCTCGTGTTCAACTGGATACCGGAAGTGTCGTCAGAGTGCAAGGAAAATACTGTCTCGCTCGAATCGACCTTAAAGCTGAGCACCCCGATTTGGAGATACCGGTGCATTTGGCGCAAGCTAAGAACTTAATCAAGAGTCGAATCGATGATGTGAGTGATATCAGTGCGTGCATATTACAATTAACAATGAATATAATATAACCAACTTATTTAAATTGGTTATAAACGGATCTAAATAGTAATTCGTTAAATATTAGGTAAAATAAGAATTGCTCTACCAAATTATCTACGAATAACTTTTTTTTAAATCTGTATAAGTTTAAACCTTCATTTAACTTTACTCCTCTCATTAGTCAGTGATATCGTAAAATATTGACTAATATTAGTTGGTAATAAGATGAATTGAAAAACCGGTAAGAGATATTGAAATACCGGTAAGAGAAAAGTTGACAGTGAAAGATTATTTTCGTGCTTAAGCTAACTAATAGGGAGTCACCAATAAGATGTAAAAAATTAAATATTGTTTTTTTGTTAACTTACATCATGTTCAAAAGGATCTACCTGTATTGCTTGCGAACTAACCTATTCCATTGTCACAGTCCATACCCAGATGCTTTTTTATAGTCTCAAACGAGCACGCAATCCACTTGATGGTAAGTAGATGCTGTGGCCCATTGACACTACATCTGTTTTCAATTAAGAACCAAAATACCGATGTATTTTCATCTCAGAGGACTAAGTTAGAATGCTTCGTTTCCAGTAAAAAGGGTCTCCGGTTCTCTTCACTCACCATACGAAACACAGCAGCACTAAGCTGCTATTTTACGCTGGTATTCTGTGAAAGCGTGGTCCATCCCCAGTCGGGCCGACCCATTCGTGCTACAACTATAATATATTTGAAGCGTGGATCTATTTCCGTCACAAAACAGCAGTGCATACACTGCGAAATGCCTGTTTCAAAGGCATGGACAATCAGTATAGTTCTTGGTTATGAAGCATTTCATCTTAGCCTTGAAAAGTTACAGTGATCTATTGTTTAAAGTTGGTTACAGCTTTTCGTAGGCTACTCACCAAAATACAACAAAATTAAACATAGTTTAATTTATTAATATATAAAATTAACTGTTAATAAAGGTTAAGCGATCTCGAATCTCGTCCAAATAGTAACATTTAAAATGTCATCTCTACTTTCTCTTTGCTTATATTTATATGTTTGCTAATTTCAATATTTAAACAAAATATTGTATGTATGTATGTGAGGTTGTTTTGCAGTACAATTTGATAATTATTCTTATTCTTTGTTCAGCCAGGTCACTTTGTGCCACGTTTCTCGACACTAAGTTGGGGAGTCTGCGTACCTTCGCCGTGCAGTCCTGAGGATGTTGAGGGCATTGTAAGAGATGCCATCAAGCATTATCAGTATAGTAGTGGAGTATCTATAAGAGTTAGAATCGATCATCGGGATTGTCAAATGCAAAATAAACAGGCTTGGTGGGAAGAGTGGTCGGGAATCCCGACCCTTTTGACATTGTAAGTTCTTTTAATTTTTATTTAGTTATTACATCAGCCTCTTAATACTCAATAATTACTATCTAGCAATAAGTTAGGCACATATATGACAGTAATGTTTTCTAGACCTAATTTTACTAATAAAAGCCGGTGATAGCAGAGAATATTATTAGTGCCAGAGAGTATGCGGAAGAACAGTTGAACTCTATTCTCTCACTCTCATAGTCCGATGGGACGAAAATCTGACATGATCGGAGAGAGATTAGGCGAAAGACCAATAGTTTTACGTGTTTTCGTAGAGACGGGGGTAAAACACTGCCACCTTCTTGACTCTGAAGTTGTTGCTAGTGATATTTGGCTCGACCAAAGATTTGAACTCGGAAGCATATGCTCAGCAGTCAAGTTAACGACCACTAAGTAGTCATATATCATCACTTTTTACATGTTATTAGTAGCTGAAACTTAACTGTTTTACTTATTAATTATGGAAGTAAATAAAATCGCTTCATTGCTGCATTTAAATCTCCCAATTATAGTTAAGTAGACGAAATTTTAACCACAATTTTTAAATTAAATCGAGGTATTCCATCTTAGTCCCCAGGGACTTGAATTAGCTTTATATCCATAGAAATTAATATTTCATCTTAATTTCTATGTATATATAACACAAAAATGTTTCTACCTATGTCCGTAATATACTTTCAAACCACCTAGCCAAAGTACTCCAAACTGGTTTCATTATAAAGGCAGTAACGCGGAGATTGTTTTAGACCACTAAAACAATGCATTAGGTCAAAGAAAGAGAGAAAAGAAATAAACAAAATGTATTTTTAGCGTAGTAGCACAACCCGGTGCCCGCTAGTAGAAGATAAATGTAGAAGTCTATGGGCCACAGCATACATCCCTGATGTGTTTTGATAACGATCACTGTACTAAGCAATATAAGTTACGTACGCACCCGTAATTTTTATTATTAAGTCGAATTTTACTTCAATAGCTCGAAAGCACAGAGACAAGTGGTAGAGCTATGCTGCAGCTGTATTATAGATGTAGCACGAATAGGTCGGCTGGAATAGGAAAGGAGCACGCTCTCACGCAATACTAGCGTGAAATAGCATTTAATGCTGCTGTATTTCATTTGGTGAGTGTAAAGAATCGGAGACCCACGAGTGACAACACATTTGCATTTTGATTCTTAATCGAGGGTAGATGTAGATATCTATGGGCCACAGCGTCCACTTACCATCAAGTGGACTGTGTGCTCACTTTTGTATAAAACAGAGAATAGTGGTAGGGGTTATCGTTTTTAAACCAATATTACTTACACAAGTCGTAATGAGTAATTCGTGAGTTTGGCGTTTGGAGAAATAAAGAAATATATCTTTACGCAGGTCGATATATGGTGTCGTCATTTTGTTAGTGTTGATAGCTACCGCTCAAGACTTTGTCGCTAAAAGAAAAGTGGAGGAAAGTAAAACAAACACAACAAAAGAAAAGGCAGGATATAATAAAAATAATACGGAAAATGAAGAAAAATCTGCAGAAGATAAACAAAGTCCAGGTATTTTGTAAATATTTTATTTATTATACGGGCTGATTTTTAAATCCATCTCAAATAACAGACAAATTGTATTTATTCAACACATAGCGAATAAAGGAATTCTTTAATCGTGATATAAGGTTTATTTGACAAATAACTTGACTACCGGAGGGATTACTTCTTTCTCTATTCTTTCGAAGACCAGATAACTTACTCGATAGATAGTTCTTTCGATAACAGATGATGTTAAACATATTTTATTTTCACGTGATATTTATTGATTTTGCTTATCCATCCGTATGGATAGGCGTCCCCCACATTGCCTTATAGGCGGGGATTTTGCCACGCTTGGCAAGCGGCTTCGCAACCGCAGTTTTTATTATTGTTACGAGCTTGAGGTTCGTTACAATAAAAACTGCCGATTGAATTACCAAAATTAACACTTTAATTCACTTTGCACTAACTAAAATTTAAAACACTAATAATTAATCACACTGATTCACTTTATTTCGCTCCGAAGCTTCGCTTGTCTCGCCAAATTCAATACCTCCTCGATCGCATCTTGCAGCGCCTTTAAGTACACATTATCACCGAAACATCCAGAATATTCAAGTAAGTACGCGCGCCAATCGACAGGCGCTGATAGTTCGAGTGTCGGGCTTCTAGAAAGTTTAGTTCTTCAACTAGATGGCGCTGTCGGTTGAAAGATTAGTCATGTCATTTTCTGGAAAGCTCCCCTCGCTCTCGTCCCCGACAACAGATGGCGTTAGTGCCGGGTACATGACGTCAACTTAGGCGCGCAACATTATTTTCTGTTGTTATCAGGAACACGCTGCTGACCATCTCCTATTCCAGTTTTCCTCTGCCACCCCTTACGACACCCATGGGATGATATGGGGTAGTGGACGTTCGTACACCGCCACTACACGGTTAATTTAGCATTTATAGTAAAGTAAAACAGTTACGGATATTTTGATGTATTAAATAAAGAAGAGGGACTAAATCAGAAGCTTTTAAAGACCGTCCCTCGATTTTGTACAGATTCCTTGCGGAGTGAATACCTTTTTGTATTTCTTCAGTTCTCACATATTTAATTCTTTAACTAACAGGCATTAGCTATAATTCTATCAATAAAGATTTCTATGATATTTTCATGCATATTCCTTATCTTTGTTAGTCACTCCATCAATCTTTTGATTTTATTTTTTTGGTATTATCATTCGACCAAACTTACTAACTCTCTCTTTTATTTCATAAATACGTTTTTTCTTTTCACGCAGTCCGTTCCGCGGATAAAATCTAGTCTACTCAGTAAAAAATCACTCTGGGTTTTATTAAAAATAATATCGCTTCTCGGTGAAATTGGAATTTTTCTTGGTATAGGAATACGCTTAATTCTATGGTAAGATATACTACTATACTACAGTGAACTTATATAGTAGTTATTAAATAACCTGAAATAAATACAAGAATAAATGGAGGTCGCTTATTCATCGGATTAGATGAAAGTTATTTCGATAAGAAATAATTTTATCGACGTTTTATGCGTAAGCTTAATAAGAACGTAAAAGCACGCGACAGTGTTGTTCTAACCACAGAGTACCTTAACGACCGACGGATCTAATTTTGGATTATGTGTAGCTATTTGATTAGTGGTTTTAGTTCAAGGTCTCTACATCACACGAGTCATGGGAAGTGAACTAAAACACAAAATAATACAGCAATTAAGTTCTATAGAAAATCAATATACTAAAAACGTAACAGTAATGATGAAATTAATAATTTTATTTAGTACAAGTGATTAATATTTTATACGTGGTTGAGCCGTGCTGCAGCTATATTATGGTTGTAGCACGAATGGGTCGGCTCGAACTGGGAAGGACCACGATCTCATAGAATAGCAGCTTAATACATCTGTGTTTCTTATGGTGAGTGTATAGATTCGGAGACGGAGATCCTTTTTTACTTGAAACGAGGCATTCCATCTTAGTTCTCAAGGGTGACAACGCGTCTACGTTTTGATTCTTAGTCCAGGATTAATATAGATGCTTATGGGACACACCATATTTGCTAGGATAGAGATCCGTTATAATTACAGGCTGTGAGTAAATATTGGCCCACAGAGGTAAGGTGACTATGGATTTCTCTAGCCTTCTTTATTGGAAGTTAATCGCAGATGTCCATGGACTGTAGTGGCCGCTTACCATCCGGTGGACTGTGAGCTTGTTCGTCACTTAAAATGTACATTTATATGTACCTACGTACTGGACCTAATTTTTTTTTAATGTGATGCGTACCATGATTTCATTCACCTTTGCTTATTTGAAAAATAAACAGTTTTTTTATTATATTTAAACACTAAAGTACTATTTTTGTACGTTTTAAGTGGGAGTCATGGTACGAATATAGCACGAATGGTTTGGCTTGACGGCGATAGGACCACGTGCAAGCTCACACTCAAGGTCACACTAAATACCAGCGTGACACAGCAGAATAATCCACTGGGATAACCTGTGAACCCTGTAACAATACATCTGCATTTTGGTTCTGAATCGAGGATAAGTTTAAATGTGAATACCCTTATTCTATAGAAAATCTATTATATATGAAATCCAATGCACTCTGAGACCAATTTAGTTTTCGTTTTATCTTACCGTTATACATAAAATCATGGGAAAGTGTTTAAGAAATTGTATAAATGTGCCAAAAATGAGGGCCGTACGTATTTTTACGTGCGAGCATTTTTTTTGTTATTTAATAAAGGTCCCAAACCAACCCTATCCACGACCTTAACCCACTTCGTTTAGAAGCTAGCCGTGGTAGTTCAATCTGTTTGTGATTCAAATTGATTTGGAATACCGATGACACGTTAATTAACATAAATTACGTATACAAGTCTGGTCTAGGCAATATTGCAACGGGCTAGGTCGCGTTTACTAATCGTTCGAAATCAAGGTACATGCGACATAATTTTCGTTGCAACGTTCGTGACCTGTGACTACTTTGATTGACGACCTGATCTAATTTTAAATATACAATGTCGGCCATCCTTTTTCGATCACGTTAAGCACATTTTTAATTAAAACGTACATTGTATTGAAACCGTATAATATTTATTGTGTAAGGTGTTTCCTTGCATAATACTAATAAAGCAGCTTGACTTTATGACCCTGAAATTGACACAAGTGCTTTGAATCACATATTCGTGTCTCAATCAATATTAATATAACACAATTCTTTAAATTAAACTGTTTATATTTACGCATGAAATGTATTCATTATTTAAATTAGTTAATAAATGTAGACTACGAGTATTTTTTTTAATAACAGTCAAAAATAACTACAAGATGTACCTAGTTTAGTTACAGCACCATTTTACGGTCTGATAGATGGCGGTATAATCGCCAACCAGCGAAAGGAAGCAGCATTAAAAGTACGAAACTTCGGATGCTGCGATCGTCAATCCGCCTGCTAAGCCTCAAATCAGCCATCAAATAAGTCAAAGCTTCTATCCTAAAGTGTCCCATATCCATTTTACTTTTATGTACTGATGAACAAGAATAATGATACCAACTGTTACATTTAAATATGCGCTTAATTAAGGTTTACTTTTTATATAATCAAAAGATGTGAAGGATAATAAACTTTATTATTTTCACCTCATAGTTGCATATTTTTGTAAGTTTTTACTTTACACGCATAGGCTTGAAACTTGCATACGTATCTTTTTTTCTTTATAGAATAGGGTGACAAACGAGCACACAGTCCACCTTACGGAAAGTGGTTGCTGTGGTGCATAGACGTCTACATCTATCCTCGATTACGAATCAAAATGCAGATACGTTGTCACCCGTGAGGATCAAGATGGAATTCCTCGTTTCCAGTAAAAAGAGTTTCCGGTTCTCTACACTCACCATACGAAACACAGCAGCGTTAAACTGCTATTTTACGCTGGTATTCTGTGAGGTAATCATTCCTCGGTCGAGCCGACCCATTCGTGCTACAACTATACTACTAATATAACTGCAGCATGGCTCTACCACGTTAAAACGTATTGAATATAGAATTCTTTAAATTATCTCTTCATTATATCTAGTGTTTCTCAAATATTAAATTATAAATAAAAATAATACTCAAAACTTGCGTTTGCATAACGAAATTAATGTTTCCATAAATAAAAATTAGACGCTTGAAAACGGCTAAGTTTCGAACTTGATTTCTTCTTTTCTAAATCAACGAACGCCGTAATTTGTTATGCAAATTGCTCTGACGACACTTCTGCGTCACATCAAATTTAAGCGTGACTTATTTCTTGATTTATCCTCGTTTATTTATGAGCTTTTTTAACAGCGTTTTTGAATAGAGTTCTTTTGAATCCTATATAATGGAAAAACAACTCCGAAACCGCGTTCAGAATGATTAGAGCAAAGTATAAATATTTAAATTTGCCATTATGTTGATGCGGATGATCCTTATTATAATTCGTCATTTGTTTTTCTTTCTTCGTTCTTGGAGGTATTAAGGTTATTTATGTTAAAGTATGTGTCTAAAGGAATCTTAACTATTTTATTAGTGTTCTATATTACGTACTATAATGTAGCACTTTAAAAACGAAATTGAAGTTCTTCACGTTCACTGTCTACCCATTTTTGGTTTAGCTATAAAATAATTGACAGTTTCATAAAAACTAAAAAAATGTTTCCGGCACAATCACCAGACCTTCATCACCATAGTATGTTCCTTATGTTTGGATAGGGCTCATTAAATAACGTAAAATATCAAAACAAGTCAAATAAGTTCAGACTGAATGTAGATATGTATGTAGACATAGACACCTCGAGTCCACAACGGTATCACCTTGCATAGGCAATTGCTTGTTATTACCTTAGGCATCTCTATAGTCATAGCTTTATACCAAATTTTTAAACTTATTTGATTGTAATACAACAAGAGTGTTCATAAATAATTACTTATTTAAAAATATATTAATAGACTAAAGTGAACATTAATTCATTCAAAGTCAAAGTTAAAGCAGTAAATTGCCTGAAAAAAATATGGTGTAACAGGTAAACGGAATAAAAGCCTATGGCAATGATATGTTACAATTTATATTTTATTTTACATTTACATATTATGAAATCAATCTATCAATTAATACTCTAGTATATAAGTCAATTTAAATACAACTAATTGGGTATGAAATATTGTAATTTGGATAATTTTTAATTGATTTATTTACTTAGTTCAAAATTTTTGTTTTTATTTTTTTAATACCGAAAGTTTAATTCAAATTAGTAGTATATATTATATATATATATATATATATATATATATATATATAACAGATTTGACAGCATACAGGCAACTGAACAGACAGATCTCCAAATGCATGCGGCGAGACTTACGCAACTTTAATACTGCTCGTATTAAAGAAGCGATTGAGCGGAACCAGGGCTCTAAAGTCTTTGCCAGAGATCTGTCTGCCCGTAAGAGCCAACTGTCAAGGCTGAAGACTGAGTGTGGTAGCATCGTTTCCGGGACACCTGAGATTTTGAGTGAGATTGAGAGGTTCTATGGGCAGCTGTACACATCATCGTTGGAGCCACACGCAAGTGTGAGTAACGATCCAAGAGCAAGTCTTATCCGACACTATTCCGATGATATCCCGGACGTCAGTCTAAGCGAGATTAAAATGGCTCTCCAGCACCTTAAAAACGGCAGGGCCCCAGGCGAGGATGGAATTACAGCGGAGCTTCTGAAAGCGGGTGGAACACCGGTACTTGAAGTCCTTCAGAAGCTCTTCAATTCCGTCCTTCATGGTGGCACTACTCCAGAGGCGTGGAGCAGAAGTGCGGTGGTCTTATTTTTCAAGAAAGGTGACAACGCTCTCATGAAGAGCTACTGACCGATTGCGCTTTGAGCCGCGTCTACGTGCTGTTTTCGAGAGTCATTACGAATCGTCTCGCACGCAGACTCGACGACTTCCAGCCTCCCGAACAAGCCAGTTTCCGAAAAGGCTTCAGTACCATAGACCACATACATACCCTGCGGCAGATTGTACAGAAGACTGAAGAGTACAATTTGCCACTTTGCCTGGCGTATGTGGACTATGAGAAAGCCTTTGATTCCGTCGAAATTTGAGCGGTGCTGCAGTCGCTTCAGCGGTGCCAAGTTGACTGTCGGTATATCGAAGTGCTGAAGTGTTTGTACAGTAGGGCTACGATGGCTATCCGAGTACAGAACCAGAGCTCGAAACCTATCCAACTGCAGAGAGGTGTAAGACAGGGTGACGTTATATCCCCGAAACTCTTCACCGCTGCTTTGGAAGACGTTTTTAAGCTACTGGACTGGAAAGGATACGGTATTAACATCAATGGCGAGTACATTACTCACCTTCGATTTTCCGACGATATAGTCCTTATGGCAGAATCGCTGGAGGACTTAATCACTGTGCTCAATGACCTCAATAGTGCCTCCCAACGGATAGGTCTTAAGATGAACATGGACAAAACAAAGATCATGTTTAATGCCCATGTCACAACTATGTCGGTAGTTGTTGGGAGCACTATGCTCGAAGTTGTTGACGAGTACGTTTACCTGGGACAAATAGTCCGACTAGGTAAGTCCAACTTCGACCGAGAGGTCAATCGACGGATTCAACTCGGCTAGGCAGCGTTCGGGAAATTACGACACATCTTCTCGTCAGGTATACCTCAATCTCTGAAAACTAAAGTGTACAACCAGTGCGTGTTGCCAGTAATGACTTACGGATCAGAGACGTGGTCCTTCACTGCTGGCCGTATGAGGACGCTCAAGGTCGCTCAGCGAGCTATGGAGAGGGCTATGCTCGGAGTTTCTCTGCGTGATAGACTCAGAAATGAGGATATCCGCAGTAAAACCAGAGTGATCGACATAGCCCAACGGATTAGTAAGCTGAAGTGGCAATGGGCCGGCCAAATAGCTCGAAGAACCGATAACCGATGGGGAAGAAAGGTTCTCGAGTGGCAGCCTCGTACCGGTAGGCGTGGTGTAGGGCGACCCCCCACTAGATGGAGTGACGACCTGGTAAGATATGCAGGAAGTCGATGGATGCAGGTGGCTCAGGACCGTGCTTTGTGGCATTACTTGGGGAGGCCTATGTTCAGCAGTGGACTTGTGAAGGGCTGTGATGATGATGATGATATATATATATATATATATATATATATATATATATATATATATGTGTGTGTGTGTGTGTGTGTGTTTTTTATAATATATACTATACTAGAACTTTCTACACCAAGACAGACGGGACCGGTACATACCGGTTTAAGTGGACTAGGTTTAAATGGGCTAAAGTAGCGGCCAATTTTTGTATAGATATACATCTAAAACACAAAATTCTCGGTAATATTACTACTGATTAGCCTTTCCATATATTCAAAATGAATGTAAAAACCATTTTTATGAAGAAACGATATTAAAAAGTAGATGACGACTTATTAAAAATAAGAATGCGTGGACTTAATGCGCTTCTTCAGACTTTTTTTTCATTTTGTATTTACATATTTTATAAGGTTAAATCGTAAGTGTTGGGAGAAAAATGTCTATTTGTTAGTTTCTTGCCGCAATTCTCATGCGCCCTCCTTTCTGCCAAGGAGGGTCGCGTTCGTATACGGCTTAGAGATCTCTCGTCAGATCGGTAAGCCAATCTATACAGGCGGTGTTTAGTGGATAAAAGTCTCCACATAACCACGCAGCCGGCTGCGTGGTATGCTATGAGCATTCCCCACCTCCCTCCCCCGCTTTCCGGAGGGTTGCCCATATTTGCTTCGGGCGCAAAAAAAAACAATTCTCATTGCATCTACCCGCAGCAAAGACATGCTGAAATAATGGTGTACCATTTGACTTTCAAAAAGTGTTTGTAAAAGTCAATTTTGAATGAAAATATTTCACTTTTAATTTGATCTTAGAGTCTATCCAAAAGATAGATTTGAGCTATAACCTTTATCTATACTTACATATTTACATTGTTTTCCTTTATTAATCTATATAGTAGGACAAAATAATAATTTTCGATGTAAAAAATAAATAAGTGGATAAATTATAAAATAAGTATCAATCAGAAAAATTACACCAAAAACAAAACTCATAAAAGCAATCTATGAATATGTGAGAGTTAATAAACAAGTTAACAACAGCTAAAAGGGAATCCTATTAAATAAAAAAACCCCGAAACCAAAAAAAAAGTTGATGATCTTCAAACAGCTGAGCCGATATTGATAAATCATGTCTAACAACAACCGCAAGAAAACTTGCTCTTAAATTTAAAAAAAAAGCACTCAAATCACTGAGCTACGGTGTCATGGACAGATACACAGTTACAGACAGATACACTTAGCGGTCAAGCTAATAGCAGCCCTCTTTTTCGTCGCGGTTAACAATAGAGAACAAAATTCTTGTAGTTGAATTTTTTAAATATAACGTATGTTCCGAAATGTTTCCAGTATACTGGCGAATGCAAATGACGTCATTAAAATCGACATCATAAATGCCATATTCGATATAATTCATCACAAGTACGGCATCGGTTATATATCAGATATCGAACATACCCTATATGTCTATTGACGTGGTACAAAATAGAATAGAGAGAGAACCCAAACACGTTTACGGCTAACAGATGGGCTGGATAGCCTATTTATTCCAATCATGTAATACAAACGTTTGTTCTTTACAGATGGAAACATAATAAGTGCATTCTCACTTTATCGTACGGTTAAAAAGCTAGTTGCTCCAGCAACATCGGACGAGATCTCTTGCATACACGGAGTTCGTGCGATTGCTACTGTCGCGCTGTTGGTGGCTCATAAGTTTCTGCCTGTTGCTGTTACGCCATACACGAACAGGGTGAAGATAAGCGAGGTAAGATAACATAACATATTATCATTATGTTATGCTCTATAAAACGTGGTAGAGCCACGCTGCAGTGCTGCAACCAATAATGGTTGTAGCACGAATAGGTCGATTTGACCGGGGTAGGACCATGCTCTCACAGTATACGAGCGTAAATTAGCTGCTAAATACTACTGTGTTTCGTATGGTGAGTGTAGAGAACCAGAGACCCTCTTTACTGGATAAGAGGCATTACATCTTAGTCCTCGGTGGTGACAGCACATTCGCATTTTGATTAATAATCGAGGATAAATATAGATATCTATGGGCCACAGTATACACTCCCCATAAGGTGGATTGTGTGCTCGTTTGTCACCCTTATTTCATTTAAAAAAAAACTATCGAAAGTCATGAGATATTTCTGGTGGGATATTTGTAGATTTTATGGACTAATGAAGAGGCTCGAATTCAAAATGCAAAGTAGATTGAATATATAAAACATAAAGTTACAGCCTATATACGTCCCATTGCTGGGCACAGGCATCCTCTTATTTCTGAAATGGTTTTAGGGCGAGGAACTGTCCGCCGCGCAGCCCCAATGCGTGTTGGCGAATTCACATGTCTTCAAAATATATTTTTTTTATTTCTCAGACATGGAGGTTTTCTCACGATGTTTTATTTCACCGCCGTGCTGGTGAATCGGTACTTAAAACTATAATTAACTATTTTATTGGTGCTGGCGGGGATCTAACCCGGGTTACTTGCAAGAGCGCTTAGCCCTTGAGCTGCAATACAAGATTAAATATATAATACAAAATACCATAAAGTAAATTTATAATAGTGGGTATTTATGTAGTAAAAATACAGAATAAAATTTTCAATTTGATATTTTATTAGCAATGAATGCTTTCTACACTTTCACTCTCCGATTTTCAGATACAATAGTAAGATTAGCATCATCATCATCATTACAGCCCTTCACAAGTCCACTGCTGAACATAAGCCTCCTCCAAGTAATGGCACAAAGCACTATAGAAAGTAGTAAGACCATAGAAGGGGTTAATAATAAATTTTATTGTACAGTTTGTAATCTACATGCTATTTTTTTCTGTAAGGCGTTAGAATTTAAGGGAAATATTATTTATTTGTTACACATTAAATTACAACTGTCGTGAGATTTGTACAAAACTAGTTTATAATTGCTTGAAAAGTTTCAGGGATTCTGTTAGTGTACGTGCTGGTATTGCTAAATTAACCAATTGCTGGAGTAAATAAGCTAGATATGTTTTAAAGGAAAATTTTAAACTAAATGTGACTAAAAATTAATTAGAATAATTCTATAACGTTAGGGTTGTGCTTTGAAAATGTTTTGCTGCCAAAATTTCTGAATATCTACTTGTCTGAATAAATCTACGATAATGAAGTTATTTTTTAATAATATTTACTTTTACTTATGTAAGAAAAAATGTTTATGAGTTGCAATTTAAAAAAGGATCCCATAATAATCTGTGGTGAACACACGAAATCTGAATTAGATAAGTAATGGTTTCAAACAAAATATGTTGCCAAACTAAGCTTAAAGACAGTAGTTAAATGTTGGTTTTAATAATATTGCCTTGTATGATATAAATCTTGAGAAAGAAAAACAAGTTTTTAATTTTTATAACGTTAAAATTGCAGTGAAATTTCACGATTAAAGTCATTATGAGGAATTGTTGTAAAGAAAAAGTATCTTGAAACGTAATATTTAAAACTTGATGATGTGATAAAACTTGCTCATTGTATTGCATAATAGATACCTACACTGCTTGCGTTTTAAAGTTAAATAGTTGTAGAGGTAAACATACATATGGTAGTTTTAACAGTATTCGTTTCTACAACATATGCACTTATCACGTATTTGGAGTTGTACGTAGGTGCAACCACTTATTTATTTAATGTGTAAGCTATCGTCCTAAAGGTAAGTGAATGCTGTGGCTCAAAGACATCTTCACCTATCCTTGCTTAAGAATTCACTACAAGTCTTTTAAGAAATAAATGGAACCTTGTTTAAAAATTTCTTATATTTACGCGAACACTGCACATTGATTAAAACTACTTTTACGGATGTTATCGGCTCCAACCATTACATCAGATTTGATGGCCACAAATCCTCGCGAAAGAAAATCGATTCCTGCCAAGGATGATACGTGAGGCTATTGAAATTAAAAAACATCTTCATTTCAATAGAAAAGAAGGATGGGAATTACCCATACGAAACACAGTAGCATTAAGCTACTATTTGACGCTGGTATTCTGTGAGAGCGTGGTCCTACCCAGATCGAGCCGACCCATTCGTGTTACAACTATACTACTAATACAACTGCAGCATGGCTCTACCACGTAAAAAAAGAAACTGAAGGTACTCCGGGTTAACATTGACATCGGGACGTCAGTCACCTCAGTCCCCCGTGACCAAGGGTGCTGGAAAGCACCCGAAACGTCGGGAATTAAAAATCAATAAAAATTAAACGCTATAAAATCCGTAAAAGTAGTTTTAATCAATGGAACCTTACTTTTAAACTAACTGAAACTGTATCTTAGGATAAATAATACGTATATGGGTTTTCACCGCTGAGGGCTAAGAAAAAAATAATGAAGTTCGCTGAAATAAATGCACCAGCTTTTTTGCAAATCGGAGTATCAAGATCGTAGTGACAGTGCATGCTTATAAGCTTCTTGATGCTGGTGTTCTACAAGGCTACATGCTATCACCAACGCTGTTTCCTCGGCATATCAATGTTATGTCGCAAACCGATAACATTAATTGCTATGCGGACGACAGCACCGGTGATGATTTAGGGTCACAGCTCATTAGAGCCATCCGGCATCCGACCCTCACTGCCTCGCCCGAGCGGTTGGTATTCTTCGTATGGATTTGTATGGGCCTGCGCTCACTACATCAACGCGCGGACTGCAAGTGGACCACTCGATGATAGCGTTTCACGCGAGTGCGATGCGGCGCTCTCCACCAACCCTTCATTTCGAGCCTTTCTTTCGAATGTGTCGGACGCACTGTTGTTTGTTTTTAAAATGAACAAAGAAAAACTTATAGAAGAAGTTCGGAAGTATAATTTATAGTATGATTTAAGGGTCACTAGTTGATCACGCGAGGTCCACTCGTTGACGACGCGAGCTTCCACTCAATGCCCACGCGAGGTTCACTGGTGACAACGCGGCGTCCACCCGTGATCCACCTGTCGACTACGAGTGGACGCCTGTGACGAGGCGGTGAGGGTTGGGTGCCGGGTGGTTCTAATGTGCTGTGACCATCACCGGCCGTGACAAATTTTCTCGGAAAAATATCGCCAGATTATTGGAACAAACTTGTGTCTTTCTTAAACAAAGTCTCATATTATGTGCGACTAAATCTTGTACTATTCAATCGCAGCAGCCTCTCTCACAAACATTTTTATGTGATAATTTTAATCTCATAATTTAAGTTCTTTTCTACGCCACGCTAATATAAACATAAAAACATATAACATAAACACTCACGCCTGTCACCCAGAGGGGTAGGCAGAGACTACAGACTTCAATTTGGCACGATCCTGACACACCTCTCTCGCCTCCTTCACATCCATACACCTCCGCATACATGCTCGTCGGTTAAGGGTACTCCTAATTTGGCCCGTTTTCAATAAATCGCCAATTTGGTCGATAAATTTTCGCCTAGGACGTCCCTTTCTGACTCTGCCATTCACTTCTGCAATATAAATTTTCTTTGTCACTCTTTCCTCATTCATTCTTTCCACATTACCAAACCACCGAAGCATTCCTTTCTTAATCTTGGTCACAACATCATCTTGCAAACCACACTCTTCTCTTATTACACAATTTCTTACCCTGTAATTAAGATTCAGCCCTAACATACTCCTTAACGACCGCATTTCTACTGCGTTCATTCTACTCTCGTGCTTCTTCTGCCACACCCAACTTTCACTACCAGACGTTAAAGTAGGGACCAACACAGCATTGTGAATTGCCATACGTGCCTTTTTCGACACATTTTGACTCTTCACAATAGAGTGCAGGGCCCCATTTACTCTATTTCCCGCATTCACTCGTCGTTCTATATCCTTATCATATCTCCCATCCCTGCTAAATACGCAACCCAAATATACAAACTCATCTACTGATAACTTCCCTTCTATTCTTATTTCACAAATCGTTTTACTTTCTTCTCTTTCAAAAACCGTAACCTTCGTCTTACTTGCGTTCACTTTCATACCCCTTTTCTTTTAATGATCTGTTCATTAATGTAACCATCATTTGCAACTCGGCCGCCGACGACGCAAGGATAACTTGATCATCGGCGTACAAAAGGCATTTGACGGTTAACTCACCCATTCTTAATCCGCATTCTTCAACTTTCAAATTTTGCAAACAACTGTCCATAAATAGGTTGAACAGCCACGGGGAAGCACACAGCCCTGTCTGACACCTTTATGGATGTCAAACCAGTCCGAGTAGACCCCGTTGATCCTAACACAAGCACTAGAGTCCCTATAAAGGGACTCCAATGAGTGTATCAAGCCAGCGCCCAACCCAAATGACTTCAGTGTTTGCCATAGCACATCCCTATTCACTCTGTCATAGGTCTTTTCCAAGTCCATGAACGCACAAAAAACCTTTTCGTTTTTGGCCAAAGACTTCTCCGCGATCATGCGCATGGAAAAGACTTGATCTGTATATCCCATTCCCTTTCTAAATCCCGCTTGCACATCCTAAATTTTTCCATCAGTTTCTTTCATGACCCTTTCAATCAGTACCTTAGCATACAGTTTTCCCACAATGCTAAGGAAGGTTAATGCCACGGTAGTTTTTACAGTCCTGCTGCGACCCTTTTCCCTTATATACTGGGACTATCATGGCTTTGCACCAGTCTACCGGTACCCGCTTCAGTTCCCAGCATACATTAAACAAGGTGTGCAGCAGGCCTGCCACCACTTCCTCTCCAGCCCTTAGCATTTCGAGTGAAACTCTATCAT